GCCTAGGCCCTACCTACCTTTTCATATTCCAATTCTAAGCCTAGTGTAGAAGGTTAGGGCCTAGTGTCGATCTGAATTTGAACAGTTCTACAAAACTCACCTTCAAATATCTCTTTCAAACTTTGAAGATTCCACTCCTCAAGTTTTTCCGATACATAGCTCGTCATTTTAAAACAAGAATAACCACTTTGAACAACAATCAATAGGACATCAAGTTTACCGCGTCGTCGTGATGAAAACTTTGAGCGCGAACAATAAAATGGCTAACAAACGATGTCACTTAAGACGTCACATATTCATAAACCAATCAGAAATGAGATGAGTATATCTTCACCAGATTCTGTGTTGAGTAGGATTTTAACATTATTTTGGTTAGCGTTAATAACCAGGAGCATTGGTAAAATAGACCAGGAAAGTGTTAAAAATATTTCACCAGGAAATATTCACCACCTATTTTTTAGAGTGTATCAATTGTAATTACTAATTATATCATTATATTAACCATCATTAATTTAGTATATTATTATTATCGTTTGCATAGCTAAGTCATTGTATCACTAATAATAACATAGTCAAATGTAGATTTTTTTTTTTTTTTGGTGCTTTATTAACATCGCCACCTTCCCACCATAGGAATCGTAGAAAATCCCTACCTTATGTTGTGGGGCTACACGGACCTGATAGAACATGCTTTTAATGTCACCTATTAAGGCAATTCTTTCTTTTCGAAAGCGAAGCAAAAATCCTATCAGACTATTCATTAAGTTGGGCCCTTGAAGTAGTACATCATTCAAGCTAACTCTTTGGTATCTTGCCGCACAGTCAAGTACCACTCTTAATTTTTCAGGTTTATGATTATGGTAGACATCATGAGGGGGTAGGTACAAGCCAGCATCGACAGTCTCCTCTTCTGGTACAGCTTCCGCCAGGCCCTCATCTACAAGGCGGTCCATGAATTCCTTGTATTGTGTAGCGAATCTTTTTTTCTTCTGTCACGAAGCCTTCCTCTCGGCTCCGTCCGGGATCACACCATAACATCAATAATAATACTAGACAACCTATTAATGTCTCACAAACACATGTCTTTATTCGCCATGTTTCTCCCTTCTACTCTCTACCTCACCCTCACAGAGGGCGCTATTGCAGTTCCCTTCACATATCCCCGTGGCCCTCAAAACGAGTTCCACCGAGTTGCAAACATACTTGTGAGTCTTAACAAATTAATCAGTAACTATAAGTAGAAAAAACTCTATATAATAATCATCAAATTACTGATGAACACACTTCTGGTGGAATACAATACAACTAGTCAAAGTCAGACTGCATCCAGTGCTGGGTGGCCAATCCGCACTCGAACATTCGATGTAACTCATGCGAAGTGTCCATCTAATAATCATGAATATCACATAATAACTCTGAAACATTTAAAAGATTATAACATCAAAAAATTAAACCATGTAATAAAACACAATAAATCATAAACGTCTTCTTTACAGTATTATAAACAATATATGTAAAATTACATGAACATATCCAATGTATAGTGGTTATATAGGCTCCTGTTATAATATATTGTAATATAGTTTACAGCGAATACCTATGTCAATACTGCTGGACACTGTTCAAATAAAATGTGACTATGCCCACTTTTCTAACTTGACAATAACAATCTCTCAGGAAAAGGAGGCCATTATAGCGGTTCTCTGTTTACACAGACGAGTACCTAACCTGTCCTTTACAATAACTATCATAGATGTATCTTAATCACGTCAATACTAAGCACAATAAAATAATAAAATATACCATGGCCATAGTAACCACAATTTCACGGCTTAATGGGTTCCCTTTGTACACCTTAGGCGAATACCCAACTTTAAAATCATTAATATCATTCTTTACTTAACATGATAACATTCAAATTTTAACACAGAATTCGTTCTATACAACTATCACGTGTATCTACTCTACGTTTTATATACTCTACAGCATTGTAGATCAACAACACTTTTACTTCCGTATCGGAATATGAGAATGCGTTCCTTTTACTAACGCTTGTAATGCTGGAGTAAGATCCTCCATTGACACATACGAATTAAATTTTGTTGGGTATGAAAGCCACTTAACTCTATATAGCCATTTCCCTTTAACCAACTTTTTATAGAGAATTTTCTCAATTTCATAATATGTGCTATCTGCATTGTGCGTATGTTTGACGTCTGACGTGTTTTCGTGTTTCTTTGTCTTTAACTTTTCATGTGTTTTAAGTGTCGTGTTGGTGTCAATTTTATCTACTGTAGTACTTGGTAATGAATGAGTGGCCGATGGTGGACTGTATAGTCCATGTTTAAGCCTATTTACATAAATTTTATTTGGGAGAAGGGTTCCATCTTCTATGCTACGCAGTCGAACATGGATATCTGACAATTTCTAACCAAGGGCGAGCAAGTTTTTTTGTCTGGCCTTGTTCTAGCACAGGGGTGTGAAGATAAACAGTATCTCCAACACGAAATGTCGAATTCTGTTCTTTCTTAGCCGCCTGCTTAACCATTTCTGACTTTCTCTGTTCAAGTGTGTGCTTTGCATCACTGCGTGCATGTTCTACCAATGATATTACTTCTGATACATATTGTTGAGCTGATTTTGGACAATCATTCAGTGTAGGTAATACATGGTCTAGAGGTGTCCGCAGGTGTCGCCCGTAAACCAAGAAAGCGGGAGTATAGTCTGTACTGTCTAAAGAAGGTGAAGTGTTGTATACAAATTGCGTGAATGGCAAATAGCGATCCCATGTGTTATGAAATTTCCCTAACTGTTTGGACAGAGAGGCTAATATATATGACATACACCTTTCACTCTGTCCATTACACTGTGGGTGATAGGCAACAGTCTGTGTCTTTTTCGTTTGCATAAGCTGACATGTAAGTTTAACAATATTAGAAAGGTAATTTGTACCTCTATCAGAATGCAGGTAACGGGGAGTTCCATGGCGACAAACTATTTCTTTTAGAAACGATGTTGCTACGGTGCGTGCTGTGATATTTGGGACTGGTTTAAGCTCTATATACTTGGAAAAATAATTAT